CCCGCGCCGCCGGCCGCGCTCGGCTCCGCAGCTCCAGCAGCCATTTCCATCCTAGCCCGCCCGCTCCTCTCCGCATCGAACCCTCCTCCTCCTCCTCCATGAGTTCCACATCCCAGTGTGACTGTGAGAGGTGCCAGCAGCCTGACCATCTAACATGCTCTAACCCGCAGTTACGCTCTAGCCTCATTCCTGTTTACATTGTTTTCTGTCTCAAAAACAAAACCCCAAAAAACATTAAAAGGGAGAAAAAAAGTTTTCTTTTACTTCCACGTTAGGAGGTGAGTTTCCATACACCCTCTGGAATTCTCTTTTTTTTTTTTTTTTTTTTTTTTTTTTTTTTTTTTTTTTTTTTTTTGCTTTTGATCTTTATTTGTTTGTTTAATTTTGGTTGATGTCCCGAGCATGGTTTTGGAGACGAAGGTAGGTCTTCGCTCTCCAAATCAAAAGGAAAAAATAAATAAAAAACACTCTCCTTGGTCATATTAAAAACAACAAGTAAAAAAATCTAAACCGTTCCATTCCATACCATTAAAAAAAAAAAAAAGGCAACTATTGAAATATTTCTACAGCTCACTGATTTAAAAGGGTGGGTTTTTTCCAAAGTATCAAATGGATCCAAAAACGATTTTTGCTAGACGTGACCAAAGTCATTTTCTTGCTGTCCACATTTTAATATCAATATTACCACAATGTGTAGTCTCAAACTAGTTCCTTTGTAGTTTGCATGGGATGTGAATGCTGTCTCGGCGTGCCCAGACCTAGAGAACTTGTTACTACTGCATGAGCATCAAGTCAGATGTTGGAAAATATCTATTACATTTTGTGATAATTTGGTGAAAATGAGCACCTACAGTCTCTGGTTGCAGTAGTGTGTTGAATGATTGTTCTTTTTTTTTTCATATATATCCATATATATATTTTGGAGCTCTAAGCTTCGTAGTAGTCCGGGCTGACTATTATCGAGTCCTTGCTCTCCTATCGCATGGCCTTGGTTAAGTGTTAGAAGTCGGGCCTAGGCTGTTGGTTCTAGTGTTTGGCTTTGTAAGACGGGTGCATGCCCGGCGTCCGGCCTCATACCCAGCTCTATTCTCTGCACACCAGTCTTGAATAGCTACAGTGCTCAACCGAATTTTGGCGCACCCGCTTCCCCGGCAGGCTCCACCCCAGCGCGGCCCGGCGGCTTCCCCGGCGCCAACAGCCC